TGCACACAACAAGCACTTCAAAATGGGATTTCCTACCCTATAGACTCCAAAATATAGAATATAGAAGTCTCTGGTGAACTTTGATTCTGATACCAATTTATCATCACCTAAAATCTCATATCATGATGGCATCTATCAATATGGTAAGGTGAACTCATAGTCCATAACCAAAGTAACGAGATACCACATAGAAGAGAAGAATGTAGCAGATGGATAACAAACATAGAAAGCAAAAGACCAAGAGAGAGAGAAAAATATACATTTTACAACCCAAGATCTAGTATCAATTAGTAGTCAAGCTACTATTTACATCAAGAGTACAAAATGAATTAAAAAAATATAACAAAAAAAACATCATACTATACAAAATAAAAATCATTCTGGTTAAAACAGAGGGAGAATGGAAACTTTGAATGTCAAGAGTTCACCTTAAGTCTCTGAGCCAAAGTTGTTGGTTATGAGGAACATGTCAAAGACGAGAATTCATACTATGATTTGTGGGTGCAGAAGTGTAGTATGAGTACTAGGGAAATGGTATTCAGAAGTCATACTCTGAATTGAGCTCCAAGGATTATAAAAAGTGTGAAAGGCAAGAAAAGTGTATATGTTACAAGCAACTACGAACTAGGTAATGCACAATATAACCAATAAGAGATAAGAGAACGGGACAAAGGAAATAAGTAGTGAAGGCAAAGGAAAATACTTAGAGGAACTATGCCAATAACCTAATCACAACAAGATACAACTACGAAATTAACTTAACAAAGATACACTACCAACGTCCGTCGTGAAACATAAAAACCGTCAACAAGACGATCCAATCAAACTAAGTCTAACAATATTAACATAATAGAAAATTTAGGACACTTTTGTCATACACCGAGCCTACAACCTGAACGTGATTGACACTCAAGAACTCTTGTTATTCCCAAAGCAAACCCTTGTCCTGACAAACTATTAGAGAAGGACTAAATCAAACATACATAAGCATTAGAATTGAAATTGTTTGAAAATTGTTAAATAAATCTCAAAGATCTATGAAAATATTGAATATTAAATATAAAGTTTTAAATAAAATATTTGAAACTGGATACTGAAAGATTGACTAAGAATATTTATCTATTTAGCCTGTACTGTATAAGGATAGATGTCGCGACAAAATCCACAACACTTCAAATGTCACTACTAACAAATCATAATACTAGAGTCCTCTGAAAGTAAGGAGGCCTTACTCAAAGCCATTAAGCAGATGATGTGATCACAATAGATGTCAAAGACATCAAAAACTGGCATGTGTAAATAAAGGAGCATGGAAAATATTGGCACATGTAAATGAAAGCGTGTGAAAATATGGCCACGTGTAAAAAAATATTATGTTGTTTAAATTATAAATATTGAATGGCTCGATGTTGTCATTCTTTGATATCTTTGATCGACCTTATTTAAATTGATATTTTTGACCGGCATCATTTAAATTAACATTCCTTAATCTTTGATATCTTTGACGGTCAATATATAAATTAATCTTTGATATATTTGACCGACATTATTTAAATTAACATTCCTCAATTTTTATATCTTTGACCGATATCATTTAAATTAATATTCCTTATAATTAATATGATATACTATCCATTGACACTCTTTCACTGTCCTAGAATCTATATAATAGTCCTTTTACTCACACTTTCTTCTTCATTGAACACTCAAAAATAGACCTTTGTCTCACTCTTCTTATAACTTTGTAGTTTTTGCATCATGAAGATATGGGGAGCTATGACACGAGGCTCGTCACCATAAAGTGCAAGCAGGCACAATTTTTGTTCATTGATGCCCTAGTGCTACCAAGAGGAGGTCATCATTTGTTTATTTAGATTATATTGCAAGGCTAGCTACCGTATTTGATGATGAGATCATGAATGCACCTAGTAAAATGTGATGATCTCATCGCATTTGCAGTAGCTAGCCTTGCAAATGTTGATCTCTATGAGCAAGCGATGACCTCTTCTCAGCTAGCCATGGGACATCAAGGGACAAAAAATTTCGCCCCTTTCACTTCATCATGTCCGAGTCCATATCGCAGTCTTCCATGTCTTCCTTATGCAAGAATCTTTAAGATTTTAATATTACCCAAAATCAAGTATTAGTTCAAATCAAAATTTGAGCACAGAACTCCATCTTGATTTCTTCAATTGCTAATAAAGTTTTAACATAAGTAGTTTATTTGTCTCTTCTTAAACCTCTTCCAAATCAGAAAATTATTTCTTATCTATCGTTTTCCTTACATATCCAGGAATGGGATATAATAAAGGGTGTATCTAAATGCTTAATTTTTTTACATTAGATCATGCAATATCGAGAAGACATTATATCAAGAAAATAAATTGTTACCATCCAAAACCACAAGTATTAGAAGATAAAATTGATCTAAAAAAAGGGTATTTTTCAATCATTCATTATTGCTTCTTAAGATATGTGACAATTTCAAATTTCTACATTTAAGTTTAAAAAAATTGCAATGACTTAATATTTCTATTATTGGATATTAGTTAAGAATCATTCTAAAACTAAATGAAGTCAATTATGATCGCGCAAAGCGCAAAATTACCTAGTTAATTCCATATAGTAGAAGAGTCCACAAGCACATAGCTCATGACCACGTGTCAACTTCAGAAATGTGCTTGTAGCTAAAGGTGTGGGACCCACTTTATATTTTATTTATTTTAATTTATTTGTCTTACTATATTTTAGATTATGTTATTTATTTGAAAATTACCTTACAATTATCGTAAATCATAATAATTAAAATTGAAGTATTTGGTTGTATATTTAAAAAGTGTTATTGGTCAAAATAATTAACTACTGAAAAATTTGTTTAAAATATTTTTAATAAATTGACCGACTCTCGAAATTCTATCAGTGCAACATAAATTGAGAGAGAGTGAGAGAAAAATATTATTTAAAAATTACATAAAATGTACTATAAATCACAATAATTATCAACTAAAAATATTTTTAAATCATGCACGTAAATATTTTATTTGTGTCATTTAAATTGAAACACGTGGAGTAAAATTTTGAAACTGATGCAAAAAATTAAAAAATATTATAAATCACAATTATTAATATCTTTAAATATTTTTTATTAAACTAATATTTGATCGTCTCCTCAAAATTTCATCTATGTTCCATAAATTAATGTAAAAAATTTAACATATATTAAATCATTGCTGACGTAGACTCCAATATATATCTAGTAAAAAATTAATATGCACGACAATAGAACCCATGGTGAGTACCATTGTTTGAATGACAATAAACAAAACCCAGAAAAATTGTACTACTATATTTTAAATTTATAAACATTTACAAAGGAGAGTTAATTGGTGAAGTTTCTTCATTTCTAAACATAACAAATATTTAAAAGTAGTCAACATATAGAAATCTCACTAATTTGAGTTAATTACTTAGATTTACGTTAGTTTATAACAGGGTTGTCAAAAAAATGAACCCAAACATACGTAACCCACCCAATTCTGGACTCAAGATAATTTGAATTGGGTTCAATCTCAACTCATTCAAGCTTTAACCTATTTGAAGAGAATTCTCAATTGAGCCTAATTCAATATCTAATTTCAACTTGTTTTAAAAAAATTTATTAAGATGTGTTTTTATATTGAAGGTATGAATTATTATCTATTTAACATCTTTTAGGATTTATCTTTCCATTTGATACTTTTATTCTTGAACGAAAATTTTAATTGTGTTTATAAAAGTTAAATATCAATATGTTAAATTATTTAGTTTAGTCGGGTCAAATTGGATGGGTCAAGACTCAACCCGTTTTTTATCCCATTTGATCCCAACCCATTTGAGCCCAAAGTAAACTTGGGCGAGTCAAGACCCAACACGATTTCTATTCAACTCATTGTGATATTTTCAACTTCAATTCAACCCGCGCATTTGACACCCGTAGTTTATAATATTCTGAATCTTAAAAGATTTTAGACTTTGAATACATGTATATGGGATATTTCCACGTACATATATATTCAATTCATAGGGTCAAAATTAAGTATAATTTGTTCAAGATGCAATTCATCCAACTGAATCCACATGTTTTTGACTCTCTTGCTCGCCTCTCTCCATGAATTTGATACAACAAATATCTGTATATTGTGTAATTCACATATATATAGAATTTTTTCTCAATAATAATCCTCTTGGTATTTTGTGTGCTTTTGTGTGATTGTTATATTTTTTTCCCTTCTACTAGTTTTGTGTTGTATTTGTGGTGATTTGGGATAGATACATGTGTGTCCGGAGTGAGTTGTGAGCTTTCCCCTTCTAGTAGTTTTAAGTGAAAGAGTTAAATTTGGTTAACATTTGGAGAATTTAACGTAGTATGAGATTTCTGTCGATTCCATTGGCTCCAAAAGCTCTATTTCGGGCTAGTGGCATGGTTGGTTTGGGTCTCGAGGCCTTTGACGTGAGTTTGAGTCCTTGGGCGAGAAATTTTTGATACTTTGACTAATGTTTGACTTTGGTCTACATTGGTAAATCTGTTCGAATGATAATTTTCTCAACACGGTTATCTTCTAACAGTCGAGTTTGGTCTAGAACGATCTTTGCTTAGGATCTTGAGGTGATTAGGATGACTTTGTAGTGTTTGGCGTTACATTATTTTGTTTATTTTTATAAATGTTAACTAAGGTCAATAGTCTATCAAGACAACCTCCGTTGGTTGTTTCATCTGTTCTGCTAAGTCTAGAATATTAATTTTTGTGGGGTAACATTAATTTGTATAATTGGTTAAAGTTTAGATGTTTGTATTTGTATAAATTTGATATTTCGAATTTATACAAATAATTTAATTATACAAACGTACTCGCGAATAATACAAACCCGCAAATTATGCAATCGATACAACTTGAACCATAAATATGTAAACCATTTTTGTGAAACATAATTATATTTATTATAATAATTATTTAAACTTACCCAACTAATTAAAATATAAACAGATTGAACGAGTTATCAAAATATGAGATCATTTTGTCGGATTACCAAAGTAGTTGGTCCACTTCAAATGGGCCTTTTAGCCCATTCTTAAATATACACAACCAAAGAAAGAAGACAATTTGATGTTCAAAGGAAAAAACCAAGAGCAAGAGAAACACGGCGACTTAGGGGTGAAAGGTGATAAATGTTCTTCTTTTCTCTGGAATTTACTCTAACAAAACTTTCTCTGCAGGTTTTATCTTCAATTCCTTATCATTTTGATGTATCTAAGTTAGTCCTAGAGTTGACGAAAGACTTAATTGATGAATGTCTGCTTGTTGTTTGACGAAATGCCTCATTGAAATACCAACTTCTTCTTTTTTAATTTATAGTAGGATTTTTCTATTTAGGTGTTATGAAGAACACTTATAAAATAATGGGTCATGAATTTTCTTGATAGAAATGCGTCCTAATTCTTGTAAACCCACTGTTTCTGCTGTAAATATGGATGGACAACAATTGGTAGGCTTTAGCTGGGCAGCCAATGAGTATTGGATTGCCTATAAAGATTCTACTAACATTGAAGTTTTCATTACTCTCTGATAAAAAAACGAGTTTGTTTGATAGAAAATTACGAAATCAAAATTTTAAGCTCAAATACTTTTAGCTGTACGAATCCTCTTTATGTATTTTTCTTTGTTCTCACAACCCAACATGTTGTTTTGGGTTTGTTTCTTGAAATTTGTGGATGGAAACATACTCCAATCTTTAATAAGTATGAGGGTGTATTTGGAATGGATGGAGTATTTTCTATTGGTGTGTTGTATTCTGGAACCCAAATGATCTATTTTGTGGGATTGTAGTAGAACTAATGAACTAATATTGTGTCATATTGATCAAAGGTCTCCTTTTTTTTATGGTAATATGCTGAAACTAGTTTCTGAAATGTTGTGCGCTAGAGGAGGTCAGAAGTTGAGGCCTTATCTAGGTGCGCAAGCTAGTGGTTTTCATACTTCAAAGGTAAAATGGTTTGACTTGATGCTACTAGTTCATGCAGCCTTTCAATTTTCATATGTATGTGCATACATAACTTTGGCAGGAGTGACTGAATGTTCTTGCTTCTGCCTTGTTGACTTGAATGGTTCTCCAATAAGACATGGCTAGTTATATCTAAGCTCCACTTGTTAATTCTGAGGTTTCTTGTTTGTTTTATCGAGTGTTGTGTTTGTATATCTTTCAAACAAAGATTGTCTTTACGTAAAATAAATGCAGAAGAGTGCTTATTAACTTTCATACAAATGACTCTTGGGTAAGATGACTGATGAATGTCGCAAATTACTGGGAATCAGTATGTTTTCTTGTTTCAATACAAAGATTGTTGGAATGAACTCTATTGTTTCAGAATTTCAGTTTCATATTGAGATAAAGGCTCAAGTGAGTCAAGAGTTAAATTTTCTCTAAAGAGTCTAGACTCCTAATAAATCTACATTCACAGACATTGTTTCTCCTTCCATCCAAGTTTGACTATCTAGTTTTGCCAGTCTCATATAACTAGAGCCTTAATATTTGGAATAGTTTTAGAGTTCTAATATTGAAGTTATGTACAGACATGTTTGAGAAATTGTTGGACCATGTAAAAGTGGAGTAATTGTTGTGCAGATCTCACATCAAGGCAAAAGAGGTATGACTGAGCAGTATTTATATCTTTCATTAAGGCATGTTTAAATGAAAAAATGTTCTAAATAGTGTCAAGTAACTGGGAAGGTACTCTGTGATGATAGAACCATGTAACTATGAAAAGGTGAAGCTGCAAATGGTAGGTTCTGGAGAATGTAGGTCATTTCTAAATTGTAAAGAATATTTTCTTATTCTTAGTTGCAATGCATTTTATAATGCGGTGGAATAATCATACCTTGGACATAAAGTATTTTGAAGCAACCATCATTTTGCTGAAATCAACTCTTTATTGATGGTTACACTTAGTTGAGAAATTAGTTGGCTTTCCTTTGTTCTGAGAATGCTTATATATAAAAATGCATGTATTATGTGTATATGTGATTGCTTGATTGTATATTATGTATATGTGCATTTTTTATGTTAACTGTATGTGATATTGTACAAGGTTGCAATGAATTGATGTAAAGGCATGATGAATGGATGGATTTGGGCTTTAAAGAAACTGACTTCAATAAGAAGTGCTGAATTTATGTCTCTTCAGTGTCCTGCTGTTATCTTTTAACCTTTGCTTCTGTATAATTAATAAAACAGACATGTGCTGCAGCTTCAAGAAAAAGATAGATTTGGACTGTGTTGAGGAAAGAGATTGTAGAATTGGAGTACAAATCCTTTTTGAACTTTTAGATTGGATATTTCAGAAAACTTGAAACAAAACAAGTTCATTAAAGTTCTGAATCCCTCGTTCATTTTTGGCTCAGTATAAGCTACGAGCTCGAAGTGATTCCTGTCCTTCACTTGAAATAAGGAATAACTCTTTTGTCCGGGAAAAGAATGATAAGGAATGACTTGTGAGAAAGAGAGAGAAATGAAACATTTTTGACTCCATATAGCACTTGATGTCAGCCCTGCTTACAGGATTTTATACTAGTAGTTTCATTGCTACGGTTGTGCGGTTGTATTTATATTTAAAATGTAGTCTTCCTCCTCCTTTGTTTGAATGTATGGGCTTATTGTTATACCAAACATTATTCCCCTTTGTTCCGTGTATTCTTGAGAAATATGAGGGATGGAAAAGGGAGAAAAAATTAGCACTCAAGTATCACAGTGTGGTGCTTCTGTGTGTTAGCACTTGATGTGTATGTACATTGTAAAGTGATTGCTTTTGACTTTGTCTTTGTAGCACTGTTGTTCTGATAAAACATTTAATTCATCAGCTAGTGTTAAAAAATATACAAGTTCAACTTCATCTCTGATATTATGTGGTTCCACACATATGATTACTTGCATTTATGTTTTCTAGGAATTGCACTTGACATATGTGTGATGAACAATCAAACTTAATGTGCACTTGGATTTATAGCCTATTATAGCGATGGACCTATATATTTTTGAAATAGTATCCTCTGAATAAGTTTATTGCTTCGTTTAGAAGCCTGCTTTAGCACCTAGAAGCTTTTTCGGGGTGGAAGATTTTGTTGATGATGACAATAGTCGTCCATATACTTACCAGAAGGGGTAAAAATTGAAGAACCTGAACAAGCATGTGTCTTTCAAGCAACGGACAGTAGCTTACATGGAACTGTTTACACTTGATGTTTTCATAGCAAAGGGCTTTGTTTCAGCCTCAATCACCCATAGAGTTACATGCAAAGAGGTTGTTGTAGCTGGTCCAAACTCCAAATATATCAAGGGAGTTCCCAAATCACGAAGTGATATTCCTGCATGCTTGTCTGTCGGAAAAATCTTGTCCGACAGGGCAAGAGAGGTTGATGTATACACTGCTTCTTATACACCTAGAGATAGGGACAAATTCGAAGGAAAAATTAGAGCAGTTGTTCAGTCCCTTATTGATAATGGTATCGACATCAAAGTTTATCTTGACTGAAAAAAAGTTACTATGTCTACCCATTGTATCCAAGCATATTAAATCATCTTAAAGTAATGAACCCTTATTGCAGTCTACTTAGTATTTCTTATAATCTGAGATTTTCATAAGCCCCTCTTTGTGGAGAAGGCTGGCTTACTCACTTTTTTCTGATTGATTGGTCGACCTATGCCATCTTTACTAGAGAAGACCAAGAAGTCGTGAAGCCTTGACCTGGATTGGATATATGTATGCCCGAACATAGAGTTGAGGAACCTATAATACAGGCTTGTGATGCTCCAACCTTCCTGTGGATACCTGGATAGTATTCATTATACGTTTCCATCTTTTGTTTCGATGTCATCATCAGAAGCTCCAAGGACTAACACAGCTAGGGAGCAAAATTAGTGGCTTTCTAGTGCATCCCCCATCTACGTAACTACCAATACAACTGTACAACTTGTTCTACGATTGTTGAACTCCTTTTGGAGGGAAGTTGTAACACCTCGTAGCCCAAAAAGATCAAAAATAGTTATCATGCTATTACTCAAATTATCGCATGAATTTCAGAAACCTAGATTTGTATTTCTTTAGTTCTTGAATTACACATGCTAGGTCATATATATCAGACACTTCAGATATACATGCCTCAGTTATAAATGCATAATTACCAAATTAATTGGTATATTCTCAGTTTGCATATTCAGTTTCGAGCTATCCAGTATTTACAAAATTAATTAGTTAATTTACAAAATTCATTGAGAGTAGCATAATATCGAGTTGGACTAGGGTTTAGCGTACCCAATAGTCCCAGAACTACTAGTGGAGTAGGTTGTAAGTCCTCTCTGTTGGCAATCATTTTAGTGATCGCGCCAGCATGCTTTTATACCTTTGGTAGGGTATATTGGGTCCTCTCTATGGGGCGTATACATCGGACTCCACATTTAGCTCATGTTGTTTTATTATTGGTTATTAGTAGCTCCCACAGTTTTGTCAGAATCTCTAAATTGACCATTTATCAGTATATTTAGTATTCAGTTTCAGCATGTTATAAATTGGTAATTGCATCCAGTTAGCTCATAAATAAGCACATCACGTTCAGATTATTATACTTGCTTTTGTACTTGTTCAGTTATGTTTTATTTCAGCTTTACTCTATCCTACATGCTCAGTACCTTTCAAGTACTGACGCATACATGCTCTACATCTTCTCGTGATGTAGGTTCAGGTTCTCAGCATCCAGATCACGCATAGATCGATTCCCGATCTCCAGTTCAGCAAATTCAGTGGTGAGTCCTCATTCTCCGAGGACAACAGTCATGAGTTTCATTTCAGTCTTTAGTCATTTAGTTTCAGTTTTTGCTAGATTTAATTGGGGCTTGTCCCAGTATTTCTAGTCTAGTTTAGTGGTTATTTTCAGACATAATTAGATTCAGCTTAGTATGGAGTTAATATTTCTTTTGTATTAAACTCATTGTTTTCAAATATCTCAGTTATAGAATATGGGAATTCCCCATCTTTTCATTTTTAAGTATGATTTAGCTTCCGCAATAGTTTATTATCTTTAGTATGCTCATGATCATATCAGTAGGGTTAGCTTGGATCACTTGTGGTCCTAGGTTCTGTGTCTGCGTCTCGGGGGTAGCTTGGGGCATGACAAAACTTGGTATCAGAGCACTGGGTTCAAGAGTCCTAGGATGTCTGAAAAAGCTGCACGAGAGTCATTTTCATGCGTGTGAAGTGCACCACATCTAATGAGAGGCAGGCTATGAAGTGTTTTAGGAAAAACATTAACTTCTTGTTACTCTTATTGTGCGTAAAGTATGATCTAATTTTATTCGAACTCGATGTTGAGCGCTTAAGATCATGCTTTCTGGTAGAGCTTAGGCATGGAATGTTAAAGCACGTAATGCTAAAACAGTTCCTCTAGTACCAGATAAAGATGTTCAAATGTAGAATTTCAGAAATCCAATTCAGCTTTTGGTAAAGAGTATGACCAACCAGAATAATCAGCAGGTTCTAGTTCCTACTAATAGAATTGATCGATCAATGGCAGCCAGAGTTTTAATTTTGTTAGGATGAATGTGTCTAAGTTTTCAGGGTCCAAAGTTGGTAAGGACCCACAGAACTTCATTGATAAGGTCAAGAAAATATTTGGTGTGATGTCAGTAACTGGTAGTTATAGGTGAGATTGACATCCTACAATCTCAAGGATGAGACTCACAGATGGTTTACTTAGTGGAAAGAGAATAGATATACTTTGTCTTTTGTAACTCAGTATATCAGTCCAAATCAGTATTAGTCCTGAAACTCTCTCAAAACCTTTCTCAATCTTTACACCAGTCAGTGACCCAGTTATAGCTAGACGGTATACAGAAATTGCCCTGTCACAGTCTCTCAGAAAGTCACCTCAACAGATCTAGTAGAGTTAGAAATGGTAGACTTTGATGTCATTCTAGGAATGGATTGGCTACACTCATGTTATGCCTCAGTCGATTGAAGAACTAGGATTGTTCGTTTTCAGTTTCCCAACGAACCAATATTAGAATAGAAGGGTAGTAGCTTAGAGCCTATGTGTCCATTTATTTCTTACCTTAAGTCTAGAAAGATGATGTCAAAAGGGTTATCTCTATCATCTAGTTCGGGTTAAGGATTCTATCCTTGAAACCCCAAATCTTGATTCAGTTCCAGTAGTCTGTGAATTTCCAGAAGTATTTTCAAAAGATCTTCCCGGGGTTCCTCCCAAAAGGGAAATCGACTTTGGAATTGATCTCCTTCAAGATACCCAGCCTATTTCTATTCCTCCTTACAGAATGGCTCCAGCAGAGCTTAAGAAATGGAAAGAGCAGTTGAAAGACCTCCTAGATAAGGGTTTCATCAGACCTAGTATTTCATAATGAGGTGCACCAATATTGATCGTAAAGAAGAAAGATGGTTCTCTCAGAATGTGCATTGACTATAGACTGTTTAACAAGGTCACAATCAAGAATAAGTATCCCATCCCCAGGATTGATGACTTGTTTGACCAACTTCAGGGTGCTAGTCATTTAGCAAAGATAGACCTCAGATCAGGTTATCATCAGCTCATAGTCAGAAATAGTGACATTCCGAAAACATCCTACAGAACTCGGTATGGTCATTATGAATTTGTAGTTATGTCGTTTGGACTAACCAATGCTCCTGCAACTTTCATGGATTTGATGAACAGAGTGTTCAAATAGTACTTAGACTTGTTCGTTATCGTCTTCATTGATGATATCTTCATTTAATCTAGGAGTGAGGAAGAACATGCAAGTCATTTGAGAGTTGCTTTGCAGACTCTCAAAGATCGCTAATTATTCGCTAAGTTTAGTAAATGCAAGTTTTGGTTGTAATCCTTTGCCTTCCTTGGTCACATTATATCTAGCGAAGGGATCCTCGTAGATTCACAAAAGATAGAAGTAGTGAAACAATGGCCCAGACCTACCTCTGCTACAGATATCAGTAGTTTCTTAGGTCTAGCAGGTTACTACAGAAGGTTCGTGGAAGGATTTTCATCCATAGCTTCACCATGGACTAGGTTGACTCAGAAGATGGTCAAGTGCAAATGTTCACATGATTGTGAGAAAAGCTTCGCAGAATTGAAAACTAGATTGACTACAACTCTTGTCTTGACTCTACCAGACATTCAGATAGTTATGTGATCTATTGCGATGCATCCAGAGTTGGCCTTGGTTGTGTGTTGGTGAAAAGAGATATGGTTATATCTTATGCCTCTATAAAGCTTTAAGGTGCATGAGAAGAACTAACAAGTAGAAGAATATTAACATAACAATCCACAGATGAAGATTAATCAAACAAGAAACTGCAAAACCAGTAGTAGAAGAAAATGAAGAAGAAGGAGGGTGATTCTGATCTTTACTGTTGCTATAGGTAGATTAACGATGAACATCAAGTAAGCTATAACATTAGCATCAATTGGTAGGCCTGAACGCTGAAGTTTTGTTATGACATCTTCTACAATTTCATAGTCGCAATGTGGTCTTTTGTTGGTCCTATTGTTCTTTTTGTTCCTTAATTTTTTTCCCTCATTCTCATCATTCTCTCTTCCATCTTTTTCACGAGGTCATTTGTTGCATTTGAAAAGGCTTCAAAATGTTCCACTTTCCCTTTCAATGTAGTTTTTGTAACCCCTACTCCATATAATCTCAAACATCCTAGATGTTATGATCCCATGACAGAAGAAAATGCATCAATTGTCTCATTTCCATCTTCTTTTTGTTACATTTTAATATTCTCCATCTCAGCCTATAATGCAATTTTATTATTAAAAAAATATAATTCAAGTACACACATAAAGAGTAAATATGAAAAAACATATTCAAATCAAACAACATAAAAATTAAAAAAATCTCACAATTTTAGTAGTTGTATCGACTTACCTTGAATTTTTTGAGTTCCAATACTTAAGAAGTTCCTTAAATTGAGATGTTGGAGCATCATCTGGCTTGTTTTCCATCCGAATTTGATCATTAGCGTATGCATCATAGTTGTGTGTTTCAACAGCTTCTTGAACTGTTTTTAAAGTCCATTTACACCAATTTCTGGAATATCATATTTCTCCTAAAAATTTGAACATTGGTTAGTGCAATAAATTTTAGATATATTTAACTTAACAGAGAATTGAATACTTGAAACTTAGTGTAATCCCACAAATCAAGAGGACAAAGGGTCGCATTCCTAGCAAGTGTACCAAGGAAGCTACTCAACTCTCACGACATCATTACTAGGACCAACTGGCTGATCATGTTTATTCAGTATAATCAGTTTGCGATCATGCCTTCCATGTACAGATAACATCTTTGTTTGACTTCTTCGTCTTTTTTTAGTGGAGGACTCTAGAATAATACACAAAAAAGATCACCCAATCCAAAGTAGTATTATAATTTGATTTTATAATAAAAAAGACAAGTAATATTATAAATAAAATATTGATGTTCTTGCCTTGGTCTGCACATTTTTCATTTTCTTCAAGAGCAGTA